ATCTTCTTCCCTCACAAAGATTTTTTACCTGCTGTTACCTACAAGCCATCTCCTCACTTACGTCTTTTCTATCTTCTTGTCATTGTCTTTATTATTGGGTGATATCATTGTTTTTGTTCCCCTTGTCGCAACATGCATTGCTGGAGTAAGATTACGGGTGGCCTTTGCTTTTTCGAACTTAAAAACAGGCGAATGAATATTGACTTACTTAAATCTGCCTGCACTTTATAGACGGGTTTAATTGAAAATCAAGTATTTCAAGCCTCTTATCGGCGCCCAGTAAGCGCTCGGGAACACATGACGGGAGTGACGTAGGTGCTCTTAAGAAGCCCTCTCCACCCCCTCTTCTGGTTCTTTCCCCTGAACCACGGACATATTCCTGCGATAGAATCGCCAATCGTGGCTTCACTAAGGATTATAGGCTCTAGATTTGCGCCATATCGCAGGATGTCCACCAGCAGCGAGCGCCGTGAGATTGTCATTGTGGGTATGTTCATGGTTCAGTAGATCTACCCCGCACGACTGATGCGACTTTATGCTAACAGCTTGTTTTCAGGCGGTGGTATCATCGGATGCTGCTCAGCTTACTATTTGACACGCCATCCGTCCTTTGACCCATCTCGCCACTCAGTGACTCTCATTGAAGCAACCGAGATCGCAGGAGGAGCGTCGGGAAAAGCTGGGGGTCTGCTGGCTTTATGGGCATATCCGAGCAGCATCGTGCCGCTGAGTTACAAGTTGCACGCCGAATTGGCCAAGGAGCATAATGGCAAGGACCGATGGGGGTATCGTGAAGTCAACTGTGGGCAGCTGATCATTGACGGTCGACGACTGCCTGAGAAGAAAGAGCAAAGCGGGGGTAAATCAGAAGAGTCCGTGTCGCTGCAGAAACGAAGCGCCGCTGCCTTGGAGAAGCTGAAGTCTGCTCGAGTGCCGAAAGACCTGGATTGGATTGAGCCTGAGCTTGTGAGAGGCTATGAGAGCATGAGCGATCCTGGGGAGACAGCTCAAGTCCATCCTTACCTTTTTACCACTTCCATCGCCAAATTAGCCGAGGAAAGTGGCGCAAATATTACCCTGGGATCGGTTACTGGCATCAACTACTCCGAGGACGCTGTCCAGTCGGTGACCTATACTGATAAGAAGACCGGGGAATCGCAGACTATCTCCGCAACTGATGTTATTGTTGCTGCAGGTCCTTGGACGAGGACCGTTCTGCCGGAAGCACCCATCACAGCGACTCGTGCCCACAGTGTTGTGATCCGTCCCCAACAACCGGTCAGCGCATACACCCTGTTCACCAACATTGCGCTCCCGGCCAACTTCGATCCAACCAAGCCCTCTCGTCCAGATGTGGCAAGTCCGGAGATCTACGCTCGTCCGGACGCCACTGTCTACGCCTGTGGTGAGGGTGATCAAACTGTTCCCCTGCCTCCGACGTCCGCCGAGGTCGAGGTTGACGAGGTGCGATGCCAAGAGATCATCAACCAGGTTGGCAGTATATCTGATCGCCTTCGCAATGGAGAGATCTGCGCGCGACAGGCTTGCTACTTGCCAAATGTGGCTGCTGCCCGCGGAGGCCCCATGATCGGCCACACGGGCACGAAGGGATTGTATCTAGCCGCTGGTCACACCTGCTGGGGTATCCAGAATGCGCCTGGCACCGGTAAACTCATCAGCGAGTTTGTCTTCGACGGGGAGGCTAAAAGCGCACGCATTAGAGCGCTTGACCCAAGAGAATACTTTTGAGGGGAGTATAGATACATAGAAGCCGAAGAAAGTAAATACGTCCTTAATTGCCTTCTTCTTTATGTACTCAGTATGTCTTTTGCTCAGACTGCAGAGGTACAGTACAGTACTAGCGCAGGTACGTCGTAGACTACCGTGGCCCGGCGGCCGCGGCACTGCGGAGCTTGGGCCACGTAAGTTGCGGAGCGGAAGAGCGGCCGATGCTCCTGCGGATTAAATGACAGATAGTTATTTCACATTGCGTACCACCACCACTACTTACTCTTAAAGGAAGAAGCTTTATCGATTTAGGCTTCTTCCCATGACCAATCCCTATCCGTGAGACTTGCAAATTCTCATTCGATGCTTTCTCTGGAAAATGCATCTCTCTAAACTTCCATTGCTGCTAGCGCCGTTACTCAATGCCGCTACGGTGCTCTCCGACCAAGCTCCAGCAGATGATCTATCCGTCTTGACCAACGAGGTTGCAAGGGCCAACAACCAATCTCTACTATGGGGTCCTTACAAGCCGAACCTGTACTTCGGGGTCCGCCCTCGAATTCCCAACAGCTTCTTCGCCGGGTTGATGTGGGCCAATGTGGACAACTATGCCACGGCACAGCAGAGTAAGTTTCGCAGTGAGAAGGGCGATTGGGGTGCACATATACTGACTTGTCCAAAGACTTTAGGCACACATGCGAACAGAACGAGGGGATGGCTGGGTACGGCTGGGACGAGTACGACATTCGGAAGGGTGGCCGCCAGACAATCCACGACGAAGGCAATGCTCTCGACATGACGATCGACTTCATCAAGGTCCCCGGTGGACAGCATGGAGGCAGCTGGGCTGCTCGTGTGAAGGGTGTTCCCCGCGAGAATGGCTCCCCCGATCAGTCAACGACAGTTGTTTTCTACACTGGACTGGAGGGACTCGGAAACCTGGGCGTGACCACTGAATCCGAGGACTCCCGCGGCTTCGAAGGCGACGTGAAGCTTACGGGCTATACCTCGGACCTTGGTGCTTTCTCGGTTGATGTCACTGCTGGTCCCGCAAGCAATGATCACCCTGAAAATGACCACCCATCTTATGATGAAAAGCCCCTGGACCGTACACTGGTGTCTAGCTTGGCTTTGAACCCGGAACAATTGTGGCAGACGAAAGGTAGACATTCTCCATTGGTGGAAACGCTTTCGCGCTTTAGAGAATGGGTACTGACATTGTGGTAGTGATTTTGTTCTCCAAGATGAAGGAAGAGGTTGATGCTGCTATTGAGAAGCACGGCCAGGAGAACCCCCCGCCTGCTTCTCAAATCTTCACGATCAAGAACGAACCCGGCGATGGAAATATTCACCTCGTGCAGAAGGTCTTCAAGGGCGCTTTTGAGGTAGATAACCTGAAGAATAACTCTTACGGTACCTAGTTGCTAACTTAAGCCAGTTTGATATTCTCTTCTCGTCCGGATCTTCACCGCTACCGTTGACATGTGAGAAAAAACAAACCCACAAGCTCTAATGACTATCAACTAATGATGTACACTAGCGGACATCTTGACTGAGCAGATTAACACAGCATCCCTCGCCTTCTCTGATAGATTCGAGAAGATCCATCCTCCGCAAGCTCCGTTTGACACTGCGGAATATCTACAGTTCTCCAAGTCAATGTTGTCTAACCTTGTCGGTGGCATTGGTTACTTCCATGGTACAGATATCGTTGATCGATCGGAGGCGCCTGAGTATGATGAGGAGAATGAGGGATTCTGGGAAGAGACTGCAGAAGCCAGAAGTCGGGCTCGTCCTGTTCTCGAAGGACCCAAGACCCTCTTTACTTGCGTTCCTTCCCGCCCTTTCTTCCCTAGAGGTTTCCTTTGGGACGAGGGTTTCCACTTGATCCCTGTTGTTGATTGGGACATGGATCTAGCGTAGGTTTTCACGACTCTCAATCGCCTCGACTCCATACTCCAGACCGACAATGCTAACAGACGTGTAGACTCGAAATCGTCAAGAGTTGGTTCAACCTCATGGATGAGGATGGCTGGATTGCTCGGGAGCAGATTCTCGGCTCGGAAGCTCGCAGCAAAGTCCCGCCCGAGTTCACAATCCAGTATCCTCATTATGCCAACCCTCCGACTCTCTTCGTCATTCTGGAGGCTTTTGTCGATAAGCTCGATGCTAAGAAGAATGCTTCTGTCAACCGGCCCTCTGACTATGAAATCACCGAGGGCCTCAACTCAGCTTTCGTTGAGACTCCAGAGTTGGGCGACGCTTATATGCGCTCGATCTACCCTCTGCTTAAGAAGCACTACTTCTGGTACAGGAAGACTCAATTTGGAGACATTAAGTCCTATGACCGGGAAGCATTTTCAACCAAGGAAGCATACCGCTGGCGAGGAAGGTCTGTTCAGCACATTTTGACCTCGGGCTTGGATGACTACCCTCGGCCTCAGCCTCCCCACCCCGGCGAGCTGCATGTCGATTTGATCAGTTGGATGGGTATGATGACCCGTGCCATTCGTCGCATCGCCGAGGCACTTGGAAATGAAGAGGATGCCGAACAGTTCAAGAACTACGAGATCGCTATCACGCGGAACATTGACGATCTGCACTGGGACGATGACGCACAGACGTACTGCGATGCCACCATTGATGAATACGAGGAGAGCGTTCATGTGTGCCACAAGGGATACATCTCGATCTTCCCCTTCTTGACTGGAATGCTGGGCACTGACAGCCCTCACCTGAAGCCCGTTTTGGATCTGATTGGGAACCCGGAAGAACTCTGGAGCGATTATGGCATCCGTAGTTTGAGCAAGAAGGATGAGTTCTATGGCACTGACGAGAATTATTGGAGAAGTCCCATCTGGGTCAACATCAATTACCTCGTGGTCAAGAACCTCTACGTAAGTCAATATCGCCCGATCGAATTGACACAGGAAGCTGATCGTTTTCGCGCAGGATGTTGCAATCAAACCCGGTCCCCACAGCGAGCAAGCCCGTGAGCTGTATTCCAATCTGCGGAAGAACTTGGTTGAGAATGTCTTTAGACAGTGGAAGGCAACTGGCTTTGCTTGGGAGCAGTACAACCCCGAGACCGGACAAGGGCAGCGGACACAGCACTTCACAGGCTGGACAAGCATGGTTGTGAAGATCATGTCCATGCCCGATCTACCCGCCAACGGAGCAAAGGGCCACGATGAATTGTAGACGTAGAGCGATGAGGATATCTTGGTGTGATATACAATAAGATAGCAAGCTTTCCAAACGGCTGTACAGTGTTACTTATTCCAAAACTCCTGACTCCTGGTATGCGAATAGACTGCATGCTCAATGGCGGCGACGGTCAGAGAAATCCCTGTCTCTTGGGTCTGCGCGATGACGATCGTCTCGACGTTTCCTGTAATCTTCGCGGGTCCTCTCTTTACTTCGCGAGCGCGATCGTCGTCTTCTAGGATCGCGATCCCGCGACCTGGATCGCGACCTGTGTCGGTGACTGCGAGGATGACGGCCATCCTCATCACGAGGTCTGCGGTGCCTACGCTCCCGGTCTCTGTCCCTATTCCTCTCCCTCTCCGATGCTCGATCCCGCCTCCGCTCTCTGTCAGGACTGCGGCTATGTCCGCCTCTCCGTCTCCGACTGGGGCGCGGGTCAGCATCCCCTCGAGATGAACCGTAGCCAGGTCCCTTGCCAGCCTCGTCACCCCCTTCTTTATCCGCAGCTTCGGAAGGGCCACCGAGTGGGGTCAAGTTGGCATTCTCCGACGCCTTAGCGGGAACAGGCAGTCCCAAAGCTCGCGCCATCGCCTCTTCCTCAGCCTCTTTGACCCGTTGTTTCTCCTCGCGGTCCTTCCTTGCTTGATCCTCATCGTCCGCGTCACCTTTAGCATACCATGTCAGATCCTTGCCCTGCTGCCAACGACCGACAGGAGCCATGAGAGAATGTCCCAGGTAGTTTTCGCGATGCGAGGAGTCCTTGACATCGGACCATTTGAAGTCGCCGCGGCCGCCGCTAGGAGGATGGCGCTGTCAGTGCTGTGTTCTGCGGTCATGTTCGGACACGAGGTTCGGGTGCAGAGGGGTTACGGGGGTAGAAAGTGTAAGAGAACTCACCGGCTGCCTTCCTTGCGAACACCTGCGACCAGATCCATTCTGGCGGTATCTTGGTTGCAGTAGAGAACTCTTGCCTCCTGATGAGAGAGTGGTAGCTGTACAGTACAGTAACGTATGAGGGAATGAGTTGCGGGCAGGGAAAAGCGGCGGGAGATCGCTGGGTGGCCCGTGCACGCGCTCAGCCCCGAGGCGGCGAATCATCGGATTGGGTTGGCTGACCTCATAATGGATTGGATTGGACTGGTAACATGGATGAGAACTGCCAAAATGCGAGAACCACTTTAGCTCAAGCGATGCATGTAAGTTATCTATCTAGTCAGCTCAAAGAGAGGTTCTTTACTTCCTGTCGTGTCTTGCAGATCCCCCTCTTTCTCCCCCGAGTATGCTCAAACCTCATTACACGGAGTCGCAAGAGCGCAAAGTATCTCTCCTCCGTGTGATGTCACCGGAGACTCAATCCAAATACCCCTCGGCTTCTTTTGCTGGTATTGACAGTTTCTGTCCGCACTTATCACAATCATCTTGCCCCGGTACCTTCAGCCGCTCTCGATCTGCCACGCGAATGGTGGCACACCCGGAGACTCGCTTTGACGCTTACTGAGTGTCTGCTTTCGGCGGTCTCAAGTGTCACCACAATCTGTGTGTTTTCTCACCAGAATGGCGTTCAGTAGCGATGTCGGCAACAAACCATTCAAGGCCCGTTCACGCGAAGGTCTGCAGCTTAGACCCTTGAATGTTGAGAAAGGAACAGATAGAGTATGTGGTCATTCCTAGTCTCCTAGCTAACGTCGCTGTGTTTTTTTTTTTTTTTTTTTCGATCAGTTGTTGTCGATCTGACTGCTGACCCACTTTCCAGTATTCTTCGTATGTATCTGACTTTCAGATCCCACCATCATGGTATGACTGAGCCGAGACTGAACTGGTTTGCAGTGCGAATGATATCTATCCCCCACAGACAGCGACATGGAGAAACAATCTGGTAAACCATCGATCTTATTCCGTCGTCTAATTGGGTCACTAACACTCGTGGAAAGATTGCGCTGTCGCAGCGTCGCAATCTGCTCTTTGTCGCCTACAACCATCAAATCTACGTCTGGCAACCCGCAGGGTCTTATCAGACGCTAGGTACCAAGCCTGAGATGATTATCACCCCAGTCATGCGAGAGCCCGATGCTGAGGGCTATATCCTACCGTCATCTCCTCATGCCATCAACAACATCCTCGTCGATGACTTGGGCCGTGAGGAGGTGTTGTTACTTGTCACTGACTCGGGCAACGTCTGCGGTTATCGGGTTGAGGCTGTGTACTCAGCGCTGAAGCGAGCGGAGGAGGGCAACGAGAGTCGGCCCCTCGATGGTTCACAGGTCGACCCGTTCTTCGCCGAATATGTTGACGCCAGCGCCTGGGGCTTGGCCATTCATAAGTTCGCCCGTCTCATCGCCGTGACCGCGAACACAGGCCAGGTCACGGTTTTCGCCTTCGCTCTGGTCGATTCTACCTCGGACAAGAGTAGCGAGTCTGAGTGCGATCCGGAGGAAGAGGATGATCTTGCCGACTATGGTCAAACCTGGCTGCAAATCAGAAGCGGGGAGCAGTTGGCCCAGCTGCGGCAGTTGATGCCGCACAAACATCGAACGCGGAATATCCGGTTGACATACACAGGCCATTTTGCCAATATCCCTTCGGTTGGCTTCTTGAACTGTGATCTCGACCCCAACGGGATGTGGATGGTCAGCACGGATATCGACAACAAGCTTCTCGTATGGAAAATCTGGGAAAGTCTCGGTCCCTTCAACGTCTACCACTTCAACGACGTCTCGCTCAAGTCGTTTCCGGAATCATTGCATCTAGAGTAGGTAAATGATCTACATGCTGCACTAGGGCTCTCTCTGACTAATGGGTGAAACAGAGAGCGTGGTTGGGCGGTACTCGCTTTGGACCCTCGAAGCTTTCATTTGCTGAAGTCTCCGGAAGAAGCATGCGGCGGTGCCCCTCAACGGCGCGTCAAAAATGGCCAAGCAGTATACGACCTGACACGAATGAATAGCAAAATCCCAAAGGCTTCTCAGATATACAATTATTTTCCGCCTGCGCCCAAGATTCAACCGGAACAGCCGCTGCTGCCCGATATCTTCGGACCAGACTGTCGTATCAACAGATCTCATAATGCCTATCACAATCTCATCACAGATAGCTCACAAGGGACCCCGCGTTGGAAGCAAAGCGAAGACTCGATTGCAGAGCTCCGACGACTGAATGCTCCGTCTGTAGCTGTTCGAACCTTAGACTCGGCTGATGCGTCCAGCTACCGCGCCGTAGACGGCTCTGTCTTTGAGGACAATCTGAGCCAGGACAGCTTATCTGACACGGAGATGAGTACGGGACCCCTTGACACCCAAGATCAACAGAATGACGGCACGCCTTTCCCTCCCGGTCAGGCGCCGCTGACAACGCCGGAATTTCTCCAATTCGCGCTTCTCGAAGCACTTGGCGGTGATGCTCCCGGAGCCGAGTATAGTGACGATGACATGGAAGACTACTCCGAATCCGAAGATGACTGGCACGGCGAGCGGTATTACACTGGTCTGGATGATGCCCAGTCAGACGAAGCGTCTGCGATGGCAGCCCGGTACCAAGTCTTTGACCGTACGTCTGACCCTGCTCTAGTCCCCAACCAAGATGCAGTCGCTAACACTTGCGCAGCGCCCATGAGCTCCAATTTCCCAATCCTCCACTTTTCCCAAACCGACATTCGCCTAATCCCCCACCCCTTCGCCACTCACGCAAAGGTCGTGTGCGGCGAACCTCTACGGCAACCCTTCACACACCCCATTGTCTCCATCCGGTCCTGCGATCGCTTCAACATGGTCAAGTATATTCCCGAGCACGGAATCGTCGTCGCGGCGTCTCAAAAGGGGCGTGCGGCCATCATAGCCCTCACCGAGTCCGAGGCGACAGGACAATCCTTCCGCGTCGATTGGATTGTCCCCTTTGAGCATCAAGAGAAGTATGGCGACCGTCCTCTGATACCCCTCTTGGGCATGACCGTTGGTCCGGTGCAGGGATTCGAGATGCCTCCGGACGTGCCTTATATCCCACGTGACGTGAGGAACAACGACCTCACGTTTCGATATAAGCATTCAAACCTCAGCATGAGCCCTCATGAGCAGCCGGATCCTGCTTTGGTCACGGAGAGACGAGCGAGTAGCACATCGCAGCCTCCCAGACGCAATTCTACACTCCGCCCGAGACCTTCTCACCATCACCAACTGAGGAGAAAATGGTCTGCTGTTCACGGGCACGATTCACATCATTCTACCGCGTCCGCACCCACTGCGTCTGAAGATCCCACGTCAAACTCTACTTCCACAATACCCCAGGCCTCAATCTCACCTACCTCCTCCACGACTACTCAACGACCATCCAGATCATCGTCCAGCACCCCCTTTACCCTTCCCGAATGCCACGCCCTTGCTACTCGCGCCTACTACCCCGAAGAAAGCTGGCGAGGATGGAACCCCTCTCGACGGTACCGGTTAATGCTCATGTACGCCGACCACACGCTGATGAGCTACGAGTTCTGGTACAGCTGGAGCACGGCGGGAGAAAGTAGTGGGACGGGGGAGGATGAAGTGGACGAGGTATTGTTTGTGTAGGCTTAGTTTTCTGCAGTACATTATTCCAACCTGTCTGAATATGTGAAGAATGAGGAAAATGAATGAAATGATTTTACACCGGGACTCTTTTAAGCTTGGACTACCAACTCAACCAGGCGAGGCCTTGAGTAAGGGGTTCTTTCACCGATCTCACGAGGAGACCTGTGGAAAGGGGGGTGGGAACTAGATGGTGTAGATGGAGCTGGAAGCTCATTTGGTAGTCAGAAAGGGGAGCATAACACAGACATGATGAAGCAACTAGTATGATCTCCGTGAAGATACTCTCTCCGTTAACCAATTTGACCCAACCAACATGCTGCAGTGAATCTAACTGAAAACAGAAAGCCTGCCACAAACAACAAAGACCACAAGCCCCTCCCTCCCGAGCAAGTGCATCTCCCCAGCACTGAGCTGTACACACCAGCAATCGGCGACAAACCAAGCTCCCACGAACCGAACCAACCAAAGTCACCAAGAACCCCCCGTCAGTCAGCCGCTGCTGGTCTCCCTAAGCTCCCCAAACCGCCGCACAATTCCCTTATACGCCTTCCTCCTCTCCTCCCCCGCCTCCTCCTCCATCCACTCCTCCCCCGGCCCTAGCTCGGGATACACCCACCCCCCCAAGAACGCCCTACACCGATCCAGCAACGCCATCCGCCCCCGCGCCGGCAACCCCGGCATCACCATCAAGTCGGCGTGGACATCAAAAACCTCCGCCACGCGCGCGTCCAGCGGCATCCGCCCCCACACATTCTGATACCGGTACCCGTAGAGGTGGTGGAACCTGCGACGCCAGCGGCGGGCGCGGGGCGGGTCCTCGATCTCTCGGGCGGCGATCAGCCACAGGTCGAGCTCGATGCTGCCTCCGGATCCTGCTACTGGCGCGGCGTCACGGCCTCCGGCGTCGTCGGTGAGCCCGTCCAGGACCTGGATCCGGGTTAGGAGTGGCTGGAGCGGGTCCGCTAGGGTCTCCAGGTGGTTGGCGTGCTGGGCGAGGGTGGTGAGCGCGTGGTCGGTGGCTTGGGCGAGGTGGTCGAGGGCTTGTTCGAGGGCTTGCATGCGCCGGCTCTGCTGCGTGAGGGTGCGCTGCAGGGCGCGGATGTTGGTGCGCTGCCGCTGCATTTTTGCGGTGGTATGGGTTGGGTATGGGGAATGGGGGCTTGGAAGGGTTGGGGCTGGGCTGGCTGCCTTCGGATGGATGGATTGTTGCGTGAAGGGTGGGACGGTTGAATGGTCGGTTCTGTGGGCTGGAGGAGATGGGGGTCGTCAGGCTTTGTTACTTCACAGATATGGTGGGGTCTTACTTCGTCAGGCGGTTGTTTCTTATGGTGATGATATCGCTGGGCCCTGGCTGACTTGACAAGTACCCGTTTTGAGGATAGCTGAGGGGATAGCAGGTCGAGTCGAGGATGACGGCCGGGCTGATGCCTGATGAAGGTGAAAGAAGGAGGAAAGAAGGGGGTGTGTGAAGATGATAAAAGAAGAGATGGAGGTGGACATTGTTGGAGGAAGAGATGTGCACAAGATGTGATCTCATCTTAAGAAAAAGAGTAGGCTTCTAGTGAATGAAATCCCCAAGATCCCGAAATCATGCTAGATGGTGTATGGTACATCGCCATCCTTCGAGAAAAGGTCTCCCATTATAACTCTCTAGATGTTGCTTGGTAATGCATCCTGGGAGATTGAAGCTTTGTTGACTGACAAATAAGATTATAGTTCTATCTCGCAATCCAAAACGCAGCTGAAACTATCAGAGCTTCTATTGTGCACGCTCATCTCCAGCCGGCGGGCATTTCTCACATGGTGATTAGTAACATCCTTTTAAGTTATTTTGCTTGAAAGACCTTTCTGTTGATGATAAGAACCACACGTTAAAGACCACGTTATAAAGCTTCTGAAACTTATTTCCCACCTCATGCTAAAGTAGGCAACCCGATAAACTTTGGACAGCACCCACTGAAAGATCCCTAGTGACTAGTCTGTCGAATTGGTAATCTGAATTATTCAAGGCTGGAAGTACTGGACATATTATTATTGCGCTGTAAGTAAGTACTGCACCCTATTATCAACAAAACCTTTGGCTATCTGGAAACAAATGAACAGCTGTGTTGAGCGCTGGATGTTCCAAGGGCTACCTGCCCTGTCAGTGTGGCTCCATCTATTTGCCCTAACTGCGTGTTGGTGGCTTGGGAGATAATCACGACCACTCTGAAGTAGGAGAGAAATTTCCTTGATTCAAGTACTTATCCAGTAGGCAGATAATATAACTTCCACTACATAATAGGTTTATAACCTACATGCCTAGACCGAGGAGCTACCCGATAGTCAGGGCCTGGCAGTAAAGACGGTCAGTCACCCAGGAAAAACTATCCTTTGACATAATGCGAGAAGAAGTTGAAGTGCAATAGATTGAAATTTGCTTTATATCAATTACAGCTCTGTGCGGAGGTGGAGCGTGTATGATCGTGCATATCAAAAAGCAATGGCAGCAAAGGCGGTGACTTTGCGATCTTTGAGGACCTTGGGGGTGAGACCCAGCCGGCGAGGACCTTGTGGGCAAACCTGCTCAATCTTCGACCAATGGACGTATGTTATCGGCTCCGCAGCCCTACGAGGCTTAAAGTGTCGTGGAGGATGCTTATTCAACTCTATCTGAACCTCTATCTATGCTTGTATACATATTGCATACCCTCCCATCGTGCAAATGGTGGTACTACATAGTATCACACCTGCTCTGCTGCCAAAATGTGAAGTCTTGGCTTAGCGTTCCGGAGAATTGTTTGCCCTTTATCCAGATTTTGCTAACCAAATAATAGGCTTATATAAGCCGCACTCATCACGGCGTTTGCAAGGGAAGTTATTCATTCTGGAATAGTGATTGCCAGCACTCGCCTTCACATCACTTGTGGACTGCTGACATGCGACCTAGTTGGTTTCAATTATCTGTGTAGTTTCAGTTGCTTGGATAAAGTAGGCCTTCAGTAGTCCGATGAGGAGCATTATTGCTTGTGATACTACAAACTCAAGTGCTAGGAACAAAACACTCCACACTGCATTCTTACCTTTTGCCATCCCATGTCAGAGACTGCAGCTAAGGCAGAATCTGGCCGGCCTTCTTTGTTATGAAGACTGTTCCGAACACAAATGATGAAGACATGTGAAACCATAATAATAAACCACACAAGCAACAAGATATCCGGGGCAGGTTTGAGCAAACAACCAATCATTTGATACGACCTCTCATGGCACGAAAAAGAGAGACTCTCCTCAAACTCATAGTAATTCATAACGAGATTAGGTAAATTGTGTGGTCGTGATGCCCAAGTAAATGATGTAGAGGAGGGGCCAGCACCCGCTACTTGCCAAGGTTTCCACCCCAATCCGCCAATTACTGACCAGCAGTCACAACAGCCCCGGATCTATGCTCTCGCCACTCAGAAGCTTCCAAATACGAGGAGCAAGTTCACGCTAGTCAAGCTAGAAAGACGTTGGATTGTGCGGCCTGACTTTTATCTTCCTCAAGCACGCTCCCTCTCTACTTGACCAGTATAGACCCAACTTGAACTCAGCCATGGCTTTACACTTGACTCAGTCCCAGCGTTTGCAGCTGGTGATACTGATTTCCCTGTCGTTCTTCATTGCAGAGATCTCTGGTAGCAAATGCAGCACAACCCCCAACTGGCGACCATATTCTGACTATTGACCACTTAGTCGGATTCTACACACGTTCTCTTGCCCTCGTCGCAGACGCCTTCCATTATGTGCCAGCCCTTGCCCCCTCTCTCGTCCTCGCGGTACGCTCGGAGGCTAATATACCCTCTAGTTGAATGATCTGATCGGATTCGTTGTTGCATTCACTGCTCTAAAGGTGACAGGCACCGCCCACAAAACTCGGAGTTCTTCGTCTCTAACAATACTATCAAAAACCAGATCTCAGCCAAGACAGATTCACCCCAAGATCTATCCTTTGGCTGGCAGCGGTCTCGACTTCTCGGTGCATTCTTCAACGGTGTCTTCCTTCTCGCACTCGGGATCAGTATCTTTCTCCAGTCCATCGAGCGCTTTGTCTCCATTCAAGGTGAGTGCACATCTCACTATACTGACATTTCACAACCCGACTGACACAGACTGCAGTCGTGGAGCAGCCCAAGCTGGTGCTTATCATCGGCTGCGTGGGGCTTGGTCTCAATCTCATTAGTGCCTCATTCCTTCACGGTTGGTGTTGGCTCTTCTACTTGTGTTGCTCGCTCCTCGACTCATGTTCATCCTTGCTGTCTCCCAGAGCACGATCATTCACACGGCGAAGTCCTCGGAGGAACGGAACTCCGAACGAATGCCGAAAGTGGCACAGAGCAGGTCAGAATACAGCCCATTCCAATACCTCTGTGGACACATTGCTGACCTTCGACCGCCCAGGTTTTCGCCCTACACGACAACCATCGTCACAACAATCTCCAACCATCCCAAAAGGGCTACGACCTTGGCATGCTCGGGGTCCTGATTCATGTGCTGGGTGACGCCGCCAACAATGTCGGGGTCATCATCTCGGCATTGGTAATCTGGCTTACCACGGACCCGGCTCGCTACTACGCAGACCCAGCTGTTAGCATGGCTATCGCCATCGTCATTCTCACAACTTCCGTCCCATTAGGTCCGTATCCCTCCTAACCCCCCAGAAACCCGGTGTCTCAGTTCAACTCACCAACTTCTGTAACCTGATTAGTGCGAAGCGCGGGCAAAATCCTCCTTGAAAGTGTTCCCAGCGGGATCAACCTTGACGACATCAGACATGATCTCGAGACGGTGCGTAGCGCTCAGAATACCTTGTTTTCCCGCCTCTCTCAATGGCTGACCGTTCGGATGCGGAGACCATAGATCCCGGGCGTCCTCTCTGTCCACGAACTGCACGTTTGGCGACTGAACCAAGAGAAGGCCTTGGCGTCGGTCCATGTCGCGGTCGCCAAAGAGACCGTGTCCGAGTTCGTCCAGATCGCCAAGACCATGAGCGATTGCTTCCACAGCTATGGGGTCCACTCGGTGACCGTGCAGCCCGAGCCGGGGTCGGCGGACCCCGTGCCTGCCGCGCCGACGGGGACGGCGGGCTATCGGGGCGACGCGTCCCAGCTGTGCCAGGTCAAGTGTGGGACTACGTCCTGTGAACTGCTGACGTGCTGTGGCTAAGTCAGAAGGCTCTCTCTGGCGCATACTGTCCGCTGGAGGGTAGTCATCACGAACAGGGGCACGTCAGTACGGGCTAGACCGCTTGCGGCGCCTATGATGGCCGACGGCGATTCGTTTGTTGACTTGCACTTCCCTGTTCGACCGAGCCATTCACTATCTCCCCTCTCCCTGTATATAGATCAATATGACCCATACACTCCCTGCAACCCCTAACTACCGTTCTGCTTCTCTGCTTCTCTGCTTCTCTGCACCGGACAATAAAATCTCCAACCGAGATCCGGTGGATCTTGATCCTCGCAGCGTTCAGCTCTTCCGGTTGCTGCCATGGGCAAGGCATGCGAGAAAGGCCCGCGGTAATCAGTGCTCCCCTACACCTCAATTGCTGCCCAGACAAAGGCAGACTCAGTACTAGCTGGGATCTCGCATCACTTTCGGCCCAAAAGAAAAACACCCGAGCTCTATCTACCCGTCAATGCATTCCTCGGGCAAGTGCACAGATTCCCCCCCCTCTATTCGGACGTATTGTGACGTCAGTACGTAGAAACTCCCGTACACTACTCCGGCTATATAATTCACCTTCCGAGAGAACAGATCATTCGCGAAGCCGGTCGCTATTTCTTTCCCAGAGCCAGGTTGGCTTGGAATCTGCGGTGATAATTAGGAAGAATGACATGCAGAGAATAATACAACCTGGTATTTTACAACGCTATGGAAGAAAAAGTAAATGCCCGTTCCACCGTGGTTGGATTAGAGGTTGGGACAGAGATAATTGCGGTATCGTGCAGTAGAGTATATTCATAGAGGATTTGTAAATGCTAGTGATTGGAACTGATGAGAGGGGGTGAAAAAAAAAAAAAAAAAAAAAAAAAAAAAAAAAAAACAAGAAAGAAGAAACAGAGAAGGGTAGAAAGGGGAGATATGAACAAAAAAAAGATGAAACTCCCTCGACTGGAATAAGGCTCTCCCGCCATTTGTCCTAAATCCCAAACAAACTCACTCTGATCAACTGGCAAACGCATCCTCAATGGTCTCGAGACACAACAAGGCTCGGACCTCTGGTTCCAACTCATGCATCCTTGACGCTCGCTCTGGGGGCGAGAGATCGGCGAGAGGCGAATCGACCAGCTTGTGAAGGGTGGCTGCCGCCTTGGCCGGGAACAGAGCCGTGATGAGCTCACGAAGGGAAAACGCATTTCCCATCCGATCTCGAAGCGGCTTCATTGCGCGGGCCCCGGAAAGATGATCCAGATCGTACACCAGTTCGATCTTCTTCTTGCCCATTCCCACTGTCAATGTCAGGGAACTTAAGAAGATCCTGCCAACTTCCGCGGGCCATGCACCAAAAGGAGCATCTTAAGGAGCCGCCGGGAGACCACTGGTGGGACTACCAAACAGAACACTAGTGGGACCATCGGGGGGACCACCAAACAGACAATTAGGACAACCGTTGGGGAGACTACCGAACGGAATATTGGAGCAACCATCTGGGGGGCCACCAAACAGACCACCCAAGGGACTATCCGGGGAACCATCAGAGAGACCACTGGGGCAATCACCCGAAAGACTACCGGTGAGGATATTCTCAACAGAAACGCGAGGGTCGTGATAGCCACCTGTGGATGGGACGAGGTCCAAAACAACCGGCGGGCCGTGCGGCGCACTGGCCCACTTGTAGGCCTGGTCGTCGAGCTGGACCTCCAACTCCACCCGTGGGTCCCCACCATGCCACAGGAAGAGGGCAAAGAGAGGCAGCAGCCGCTGCTTCTCCTGCCACGCGGTGCCCATGCCGAGGGCCTCGACGAGGAAGAACTCCCAGTGCGTCAGGTCCCGGGCCGTCCCCGCAATCACCTCTTCGCCGCTTGGCTGGTCCAGCGACAAACCATGTCGCCAGTACAGGCCCAGGAGCTCAATGAATCCCGCGGCCGCGCGGGGGAGTTGTCTTTGGGCCGACCCAATGACGTTGAGGGTGAGCGCGCTGAAGGGCACGCTTCGCGTCAGCCAGCTCGCGGAGCCTTCTCCGGCTGGGAGAAGAGGAAGAAGATCGCTGCCGCGCCAAGGAATCCCGCTGTACGCCACCAGGACGGGAAACACGGAAGCAAACATCAGACGGATCGGTCTGCGAAGACCAGGGTCTGGAGTCCAGTCAGTGGTGTCCTCGTTGCGGAGCAGCAGCGGGGGAGCCCGCGGCTTGCCGACCAACCGACAGTCCAGCCACAGATTGAGGTCGTAATCCTCGGGCAGGGCGGCGCCGATGATGCGAGCCACGGAGGCCAGAAACCCAAAGAGTCGTTCCGGCCGCTGCGGAGGGATCTGCTGCGCCACAAACGTGTCCAACAGAGCTACGGTGTCATTGAAAATCATGTAGAAGTCGCGGGCAGACTGCGTCATGCTCGAGTCCATCGCAGTAGACCCCCACGGACAAGAAATATGCAGATCCACCCACGGGAGATCTTCCTGGCAGGAGGGTGTCAACGTGGCACAGAGATCAGCCAGCATCGTCTGACACAAGGCATCGAACGCATCGTGCCCCTTGGGGAAGGCGGCAAATCCGGCAACGAGGTCCGCGTTCTGGGAGAGGTAATCGAAGGCGGACCGGTGGGTAAACACAACCACGATGGTTCTGTCTATTTGTTTCGCGTGGATCTCGAGCAGGCGGTGGCAATGGCGGTTAATCATGTCCGTGGCCTTGATCAATCGTGCCCGGAGATCATCCGGGCTGTTTCCCGCCGGGGACAAGGTGCAATTGCGAGTAAAATATGGGTCCTGAAGATATTCAGAAAGAAACGAGAAGGGAGACAAGCGCCATGGTCGACGGCAGAGAAGCACCAAGAATAAGAGGCGGCCGCAGCAGGGAAAGGACGACGACGATGAGGCGAAAGGGGAAGAAGAGATCGAGCATAGGGCAACACCGAAAGCACTTCCTCCGCCCATATGGCCTCTGTTTAGTCTGGAAGATAGTGAGTTGTTTGTGGCGTGGAATCGCCTGAGTGCATCCAACAAGATATGGGCAGACCGCAAGATCTTTCTTCTGCTCGACGGGATAAACCGATTCGATGAAGGGGAACACGGGCAGATGTTGACCGCGCTGAAAGACTGGGTGCGAGCCAGGCCAGGGCATGTCAAGATCTGCATCACCAGCCGCGGTGAGGCGGCGTTTCAAGAAGCCTTGGAGTCGCAGCCTGGTTTCACCCTGCATGATGCGAACTTTTTGGACCAGCTGTGGTATACTCGACACCGGCTTACCACATCATGTTACTCTCGGCTTCCTTACACCACGGATTTCACGCCAGCCGAACGAGTTAGGATAGAGTATGACCTGGTGAGATTGGCTGGCGGTGATGATCAAAAGCTGTGCACGATGGTGCGCTTGTTAGAGCAGGCATTCCGCGAAAGAATTCCTAAAGACTGGATATATTTGCGACTGGAACACATTACTGGGAGGCCTGGCCAGTGCCTGCAATAGTTCTAGATAGTTTATACTCACGTATACATAGCACAAGCACATCTCCTTTCACACCTGACAAAGCATTGAGGCGATACTGATTTGATTCCATTTTGTCCTAACTATCCCCAACTATCCCCAACTTTCCTATGAATGCGAATCAAAACAGTAGGAATTCCACCTCGGCAATCTTCACCCCCGCGGGCATATCAACGCTAGCAGAGCATTCCCCTTGGCATTTCGACGGTATAAGGTACTTCAACATGAAGACGCTGTGGTCGATCCTGCGCAAGAGCCTTAATCGTCCCGAGGTCCGGTTGGCGACCGCCTTCTCCCAAACCCATTCGATGCTGCAATGCGCCGATTCGGGGGGAGCTGTGGACTTCGAGCCCCCCGTGGCCTTCGCATGCACTCGGAATCCCCAGCCAGTGAGAAGGAAGTTGCCGCCACCGCGGTGGATGACCATGCCCGAGCATGGGAGGAGGGGGCGGCCCTTCTCCGCAGCAGTGTCAGCAGTAGATGGGCAGCGCTCAATCTGGATCTCGAAGTCTCCATACTCTCGCACAATTGGCTCATTGACGGGATCGTTCTTCTTCCTTTCACCGGTCATCGGGTCGTCGTCGTCGAAGTGAAACCCGACCGATGAACCGGGCAGCTGTTGGGCCAGAAGGACCGTCTGTGAGATGGAGGACAGGAGACGGTAATGCTTGGTGAAGGGGCTGGTGGCCGGCTCCAGCGTATCAATCCCCAACGGAGAGATTCCCAGGGCTTGGTAGGATCCATAGGCCGTCCATAGTCGGCCGGCACTGTTCTCGTCGCGACGGGGCTCGGAGAGGAACAATGGCTGGGCGTGGTGTCGGTACTGGACCCAGACGCGCGCATAGGACTTCCCCAGAAGACAGCGGCTGGGAGCCACAAAGTCCAAGGAAGGTGCAAACCGCTGCCAGATGTCGAGGAGGTTACCAGAGGACCGGTAGTGGTAGTTTTCCCCGGTTACAGTGGCGGAAATGTCGTCCTTCTCATCCTTTCCAACTTCATCTTCCTCCCCGAGCTGGGTGTACAATGGAAGAGGGTACTCCTCCTTTCCTGCGGTGGCAATCTCGTGGACGTACAGAGCGGAGTGGTAGGCCATAAACAGCTCGTCCGTGTGCGGGCCTCGGCCAAAAACCTCCGCCCACGATTCTCGAGGGATAAGGGAAGATGATGGTTGGGACTGAGACTTGAAATGGCCGAGCGTGCGCTGCAATCCAGCTTGAAGATGGTCCCAGTCGTTGGTCAGAAACGACACCAACTCCGCTGGAACGGGTTGCGCGAAGCGTTCCTCGGCGGCGGGACAGGTGTCGCGGGAATCCCCAGCAAGCAATGCAGCTGCAGCGGAGGCGGTGGCGTTCGCTACCTGAACCATCAGAATGGTGGAATGCTCGCTGTCAATTTCCTTCAAGTGGCGCATGAGACGAGCAAAGGCTCGCCTATCGCAAGCACGTGCCTCATCTTGAAAGAGTGACAGCGTTTCCGATACGTCCAGAACACCGCCGCGCCTGCGCCAATGAGCTCGTGGAAATCGCTTGATGTCTGCCTTCACCCATGGTGGCGCACATGTTGAGATACCTTTCCACAGCCCGTATCAAATACTTGCAAAAGAAAAACAAGAATGTGGAAAGTATATGTCATGGAGAGGAGGGTAGGGGAAGGGGCGGGCGCTTACCATCGTGGAATGAGCCACACCAGAGCAGTACAAGATGTAAACCATGCTTGCGAGCCCCCAAGATGACCTCGTCAAGTTTGTCGAAAAGGAAATGGCCCTCAAATGGCTCGATTTCCTCCCAGGCCACACGTCCTAGCACCGTGTTGACATGAGTGTCGACGAGCCTTTGCCACACCGTGTATGTGTACTCAGGCGAGGTGAAGGAAGAAGACGGTTGAAGCTCTCCTGGCAAGACCAGAAATGGTCGGCCATGGACCACCAGCTGCTTGCCATTCTCAATCGGACGAAGATGGGGGATTCTTCTTGAGCCAGCAGGAGGCACCGTTGTGTTAACCTGATTGTCAACGAGCCTTTGTCACACCGTATCCATGTCTCCTGGCGACGCCCGAGGCAGAACCCCTGCAAACAAGTTCGAGGGGGGTAAGTATGCCATCAACTCCGTGCCATCTGCCACGGGGCGGGGCTGGGAAATCCTTGTGTCAGATGCAGGTGACATGGTTGCAGAACGATGGTTGAGGAAATGGCAGCTCAAGAAGCAAAAAAGGTTCCTAAGCTGATGGGAGAAAGGGAGTAGGTAGTCTACTACCAGGCGGGCTGCTTTATATATTGGACCCTAACCTTCTCTGTTGTGTCGCAGTCTGAGTCCGACCCCTAATTCATACCAACCTCCGTTGAAAGTGGCTGCAACGATAGGTACCGCCGCCGGTTCTGACTACATTGGCGCCAGATACCATTTGTTCTGTCTATTATTGTTGTCCAATCTATTAGGGGTGAGGCAAGACTGCCCCGAGTAAAGAATTGCACTGCCCCCCCTGGTGCCGAGTAAAAAGCCTATTGCACCTGGCCGTGTGCACCAGAACATGAAAGACAGGACTCACGGCGGTCTGTCCTATCTGGATGGAAGACACTTTGACTAGATAAGTTGACTGAGTAATTGAATTTGAAAATCGCTGTGCAAGCACGAAATGGATGCAGGTCATCAGAATCATGGAACGACACCGTGCGCCTGTTCTCTAGTAATGAACATCACCGTGCAAAAACAAGGAGAGGCATGAAATGTCCTATGAGCCCATAACGCGTACGTGTATAGCATGACGTGACGTATGATGGAAAAGGGGTAAGATAGAGAGAATAAAAAAGAACCTAGAAATCATCATCGAGTTCATCACTGTCCCATTCGTCTTCCCGGTCATTCTGAACCAGTTCTAGAAATCGTTGCAGGCCAGGCCGCGCATGTCGTTGCGGTTGACCTTCTCTGGCCACTTCGGCCTCCGGACGACGCCGGACTTCGGCCATGGCTCGTGCCTGTGCTTGTCTCTCGGCCGCTGCAGCCCGAGCTGCAGCATCTTCATTGCCGCGTTCGCCATGAGCCCCGGCGCCATGACCAGGGTTGACTCTTGGGGGCACCGGAGCTGGGGGAGGCGGATGTTGACCCAGTTCCATGGCAACCAGATTCTCGTCGTCACTATCGTCGTCAATCTCTATGAGCTGCGCGGGGACTTGATGCAAGGCTTCAGCCCCGTCAGGGTCAATGCCGTCACCGCCTTCCAGATCCCAAAGCCTTTGGTAGCATTGACTCTCCGGATCGTTGAAATGCCGGTAAGGGTTTTCCTCGAACAGCCAACAAGAGCAGAGGTAGCAGAAGTGTGTGTCGCATTTGAAGCATATCATATGGTTGCATCCCATCTTCTTCTGGCAGGGAGCATTGCACGTCGGACAAGCGGATGTATACCGCCGCAGATAGTCTTCGGTCGCCTTTTCTTCGGCGGTCAGCTCGGCTGCACGCCGAGGGAAGCAACGGACCAGTTCCCCATGCCAGCCTTTCTTGCAAACGCAACAGAATGCGTAGTTGCAATCCTCGCAGATCGCCACCCGTTCAGCCATGGGGGGCAACTGAGCCTCGTCACCGAGGGGATCAAAGACACGGGTCGCCTCCTCGTCATCGTCAGACACGTCGAGGTCGTCAGACATCGGGTCCATGGGTTTGGGGTGCTTTTTTGAGCGAGCGGCACCTTGGCACCATTCACGAGGACAGTATACTGTCGACTTGTCTGCTTCAAGCCTTTTCTTGCGCTTGAGAGATACGAAGCGCTGCACGGTCTCCTGCTCCAGAGGAATCTGTAGCAACTCGCTGGGGCTGAGCGTTCGGTCAATTTTCTTTCGCTTCTTTGGTATGTCGCCTGTGGAGGCTGTAAGAGCTGTTTCTTTGCCACAGTTAGGAGCTAGACACTTCACACTCTCAATATCGCCTTCAGTGATGCAGGCGTTGTAGAAGTCCTGCAGACAGGCAACGCAGAAGACGTGCGAGCACCGCAGAAGACGGTGACAATTTATGCCTTTCTTTGGTTCCAGGCAGACACCACATTCAAAGGTCTCCTGTTCGAACATTTCCTGTTCAGCCTTATTGTTGAAATCCAACAGCGCGATTTTCAAGTCTCGAGAAAGCTGCATCTCGCCGTCGGAGCTTCCACTAGAGCCGAATCCCGTGTCACATAACTGCTGAAGGTGGTCAATGTATGTGTAAACCACCAAGTCCCTGCCGCACTCCTCCCAAAGACGCTTGCCATCATCTACGAGTTCAGACAATGTCGAGGAAGGTAGCCAGGCAGGGTTTGTTTCGAGATTGAACAAAGGCGCTTGCTCGGCTGGATAGCCTTCAGGTAGCTCGATCTCGAGGCAAAGAGGAGGGAAGTGCGATATGATATAGACTTCATTGTCGGGTTCGGCTGGAATGATTTGCTCCTCGGCCTTGAACGGGAACCCGTTTTCGCCGGCGTCGACGGACGTGGGAGGGGTCAAAATAGCAGGAAAGACGTTCTCGGGTAGCTGCTGTTGCTGCTGTGGCTGCTGAAAGCGCACGCGTACGGGTCTGGATGGTTTGACAGGTATGTCTAGCGAAGCTTTGTACGGCGAGACGGGGTCGATTGTTATTTCCGGGAAGATAGCAGCGATAGACGACAGCTCGACCGAGCGGTCATCTTCCATAACCGACTCAGACTCTGTCATGATGGTTCCGGGCGTTCTTTCCGCAGGACTATCCCAGAGACAACGCACGTCTTCCGTGGAGGGTTATCGTTCGCAGGTTGTTTTGTATTTGGGATGGCGAGATGACGGGTGGCAATTGAGGTCCGTCAAGGCGATGGAAGTGCGCAATGTCCGATTCGAAGTCCTTCAGTCTGATAGCGCCCACCGTCGATAACATGCATTCCCTACATAGATATTTGAATGGCAGGTGGTGAGCAGCGATGAGGCGACAGAAGAGGGAAGAGTTATGCTGCTAAACCACGGATTAGTCAATCAGACAATGCGATTATTGAGGGTGGCGGGCGGGAAGGTCGGACCTCTCAGGTACTGCAGGCGTGTGTGCGGTCTAGACAACTAGTATTATGGGGGCGGTGGAACCGTCGGGGAATCAAAAGAGTTAGAAGCGGACAGAGAATGAATGGAACAAAGAGAGTTTTGTATTATTCGCAGTCTAGAGAGTATGTAGAAAGAAGAATCGGAGTGAGGACGTGAGGAGAAGTGCGTCATGGTTTGGGGCCCGAGATAAGAGAGGATAGGATAACACAGTCACGGTCAGTGGGTTAGGAAGAGCAGTGGTACAGCAATAGAGTAAGTAGAGGCAACGAAGGCAGGCGAGCTAGAATACTCAGAGGAAAGAGGAGTGGGAACCAGAATAGATATAATAAAGGGAGTCAGGCATAGAGAACTGAGCTAGCTGGGGTTTTGCTGCCCAGTCTTGCATTAATAGTTCAGGTTGTTAGTGTTGGGAAGCAGTGTTGAAAGTTACTAGGTAGTTACTGAAAACAAAACCTGACTCAGAGATCAGTTAGTTAGTTAGCCTGAGGCGACAAGGCCGAAAGGATGGATTTCCCCTGCGGCCCTTCCTGCCCCTCCTTTTCCCCGCCGCTTTAACAAAAACCCCCGTGACTTGGCTTTTCCCCCTTGCGGACCCACTCCGCCCGCCTCCCGTTCTCTTTTCCTTGACTGGACATCGACTGGACATCTCGAATTCTTAAACTAATTATTGATTATTGAAATTAGTGTTCCCTATGGACATCGGCTTGGAGAGAGGCTTCAAAGTATTCGTTTAAACAATCACCAACAGTCTTCTCCATCAAGAACATTGATTTTGACACCTGCACGATATGATGTTGTATGATTAGGTGGTCATCACTTGGTCTGTCACTCCGCCGGACAGTCGCTGCTGGTCCATTGCTATCATCTCATTCATCTTTAAGAAGCATACCTTGTCCTGGCCTGAATTGAGGGCCGCTTGAGAAGAAGATTTCCCAAATCACAATTCCCGGCAACACAACAGGCCGACAACTACAACACAATGGCGGACGCCCCCCTAGCATCCTTATCACTGACCCATGTCCATTATGTACGTTCCCACCTTTGGCGCTTAGGGTGACGAGCGCTCGAATAACTGATTATGCATTGCTCCATGCTAACAAAGGCAGAACCCTGAGGATCTGCTCTCCTATGTATCCGCTTATCTTGCTTTAGTGCCCCAGGCCCTGGTCATCTCCTATGTCACGCTTGCCTGGGCGTCCAGAGAAGTCGAAGTCATCTTGATGTTTGCTGGTCAGATGGGCTGTGAGGCGCTGAACTTTGTCCTAAAGCGTATCATCAAGGAAGAAAGGCCAAAACGTAAGTTAATTTACCCAAGGCAAGACAAAAAGGAAACAGAAAAATGAAATATCTGGTCCAAACTAACGCCTGCCGCAGAAATGTTCGGCAAGGGTTATGGCATGCCATCGTCGCATGCCCAGTTTATGGCTTTTTTTGCCGTATACGCTGGACTCTTCTTGGTTCTCCGACATTCCCCTGCCTTGACCCGCCCAGCAGCCACGGTTCACTTTGGGGTCCGAGCACTCCTCTCTCTTGTGTTATGCGTCGCTGCTGCTGCAGTGGCTGTCAGTCGCGTTTACCTGAACTACCACACTCCCAAGCAGGTCCTGGCGGGCTGTAGTGCGGGTGCCTCGTGTGCGCTCGCGTGGTTTTTCGTTACGCGGCAGATCCGCGTTCTCGGCTGGGTCGACTGGGTACTAGACTTGGAAGTCTCGAAGTTCTTCCGGCTTCGCGACTTAGTGGTGAATGAGGACCTTGTAGAGGCCGGATGGCGACACTCGGAAGCGAAGCGGGCCCCGAAGCGGGAAGGAAACAGTGAGCGTCGTTCAAAGAAAACCGAATGAAATGTGCATGCGCCGTGGGATGCTAATCAGGAGTAGGGCTACCCAACGGTCCCTCTGTCTGATGAATATGTCGTTCCCGCTACACGCCTGCCTTTACAACTAGGAGCCTGTGGTTGACGTGCATGGCTCGGTAGTCTCTGAGCCTTCGGCACTCGGGTCAGCCACACTATGTGAAACTTCAGTGGAGGATCCGGGAACAGTACCTTTTACCTGAGTCCATAGAACAATGATTTTAGCCTTAGCAGGTGTAGAGCTTGATCGTCATCTCATTTTGGTTTTCTTGCCTCTTTCGGAA